TTTAAAAAAAAAAAAAAAAAAAAAAATAGTCCTCACATAAGCCAGCGCCGTTTGGATAAGCTCACGGGGCCCTGCGAAGCTATAGCTTCCACGAGTTGTGCCAAGTAGCAGCCAGGGGCTGTTGTCCCCTGTATATGTAGGTATTATGACAGGTATTCCAATACCTCAGTTCTACCGCAAATTACATATCGGGAAAAAGTGAGTTTGGAGTAGTTTTGGATTCAATTAGCCGTTTTTCCCTGCCAAAAATTCAAGGACGAGAACTATATTTTGTACTTAAAATAGTCGTTGAACTTTTTCCTTAACATTGAGTCTTTCGAAGATGTAAAAATGTAAAACTATTTGACCGTCCTTATTTTCGGTTCAAACTTGTTGTCACTCGGTGCGTTGTTGTCGCACCCGGTCTTCTACATGTATCAAAAAGATAGGCAACTTGCAATGCAAAAAAAATTTACGACTTTTTTCAATTTTATTGAAATAAATTTCTAAAAAAGAGGCCCGTGAAATTAGTAGATAGGCAACCAACACTACACCGCGATGCAATGGCGATCGTTTTACCATCAATATAACGCATCCTGTGTGTCGGGAAGATAGGTAATTTGAAATGTGAAGAAAAATTGCAATTTAATTCAATTTTATCACAATTAGAGTAGCCCCTTCAGTCAGTAGACAGGCAAAATACATGACACTCTGATGTAGTCGCAATAATTTAACCATCTAATTCAAACTTGGACCGCGTTTAGCAGAAAGGGACCAAGCCACATCAGCTGTTACCAAATTAATTTGGGTAATAAAATTTTTTACATAAGAAAATGTATGCTAATTTTTTGGAATTTTTAAGGAATTTGCTTCGTACCATGCAGAAAATTCACTGAAATTTGCACGAAAATCCACACGATCGTTTTTATGTAAAAAATGCAACTGCCCAATTACATTTGACAATAGCTGGTGTGGCTTGGTTCGTTCCTGCTCAACGCGATCCACTTCTGCAATAATAAACGGCAACTTTGGTAATAGAGAATTTGCATGCAATATTTTTATTGCTTCATCTGAAACTGCTTAAAAATATGATTTCATAGTATTTTTTATACTTTTTTTCAGATATGGGAAAAAGTATAAAAATACATTTAAAAGTGAGAAAATGTACCGCCTAGTGACGTCATCTGGCGGCATTTCCCATTTAAAACACGTGTATTTTAGCATATTAGATCATTTTGTCATATCTTCTCCAGCAATTGTTCAATTCATGAACCAAGGGTATTCTTGCGTTCAGTTTACTCAGTAGTTTCCACTTAAACACGAAATTCATCAAATTTCAGACACCTGCAAATCGACGGTATAAGTCGGCAATCACATAACTCGTTTGCGGTGTCTAAAAATCTCCGCCTCCATTTTATTTTTTTTAGGAGAACAAATTGACATCATTCCTTGAAGGTTTTGCAGAATTTTCCTCGGACAGAGAAGAAAAATCACGGCAATTTTAAAGAATTGCCGTTGAGACTCAACGGCAAACTACTCAATGGCGTTGAGTAGTTTGCCGTTTAAAAAATAAAGTATGACAAGAAGTCTGCGACGTCGCAAACCGAGTTATGTGATTGCCGACTTACACCGTCGAAATTCTCTATTGTGGAACAGTATTGACAGACAAAATACTCACACTTTGGGGCATTTACAGCTCACATTGTCCTCCGGTTTGGGGTTTTTCGGGGGTTTTTGGGGGCTGGGCTCGAAGGGACTCGGGTGTTGCTGCGTTGAGCTGAACTGAGTGTTGGGACGTTGGGCCGTTGGGCCGAATTGACTGCTAAAACCACTTTGCACGCCGATAACACAAACACCAAGTACAACACCAAGTACAGCACCTAGTAAAATTTCTCTAACCGTGACCATTTTGTATGGGTAAATGGTCTCGCACTCACTGCGCAGAACTCGCCTTTATATTCCGCTTACTTTATCACCCTCGCCCCGAAAAACGTAACAGGAATTTCCTCAAACTTGTCATTGACTCGCGATCCTTCAAAATCACTTTGCTTTCACGTTAGTGTTGTCACGTACTACGATTTCATTCGGATGGGAAATTGACCTCACACCTGCCGCGACACACGGGTGACTCTGAATACTCCTTGGATTTTCTGACAGGAAATCGACTCGAGGAAAACGAGCATTATTCACCCCACGGCAGAGAGCTACTGCGGCAAGTATTGGGCTTAAAGAAGGGCCTTCACGCTGTTCTCGACTGATAAATAGCTTTACTTCCTGTAAGAAAATTAACCACTCCGTTATCACCTCTGAGGCACATTATGCAGAGTGGCTGATTTTGTTAAGTTTGAGTGTCATTGCCACCTCGTTATGGTGACCCCTCATTCCGTTGGTCTCTCTTATAGTCCAGGCGCCTGGTAGCTAAAAATGAGGCTACCTGGAATTTTGGGTACACAGCGATTTTTTTGGCTTACTTTATGTTTTTTGGGTCGCTGAATCCGAATCTGAAGTTTCCGCAGGCGTATCTGGTGAGCATTTTCCGCTATTTTGAAAAAATGGCCTAAAATGGCCTTTTTTTGCGGTTTTTTTGATATAGCGGCTACGGATGAGGAAAAGTCCCGGATTTAGCTAATGTTTTGAATAGCTGACAAAATTTGGAAGAAAATGGTATATGAATATGCTAGGTTTGCTCAAAAATTGAGGAACCTCGGATTTCGGAACTTCAGAACGCTTCGGAACTTGGCTGACCGCGGCGAGCCGGATCGCGCGTTGACGGGTGCGCCGCGAAAACGTGAATAGGCGCGATGTTCACGATGCTGTATCTTCCTCAATTTTTAAGCAAACCTAACATATGTATACACCATTTTCTTCCAAATTATGTCAGCTATTCAAAACATTAGCTAAATCCGGGACTTTTCCTCATCCGTAGCCGCTATATCAAAAAAACCGCAAAAAAAGGCCTTTTTAGGCCATTTTTTCAAAATAGCGGAAAATGCTCACCAGATACGCCTGCGGAAACTTCAGATTCGGATTCAGCGACCCAAAAAACATAAAGTAAGCCAAAAAAATCGCTGTGTACCCAAAATTCCAGGTAGACTTACCAGGCGCCTGGACTATTAGTACATGAACAAGTGAAGGCCCTTTTCACACACGGAAAAAAATTATATGTTGATATTACATTTATATTGTTAAAAACATGTCTGACAAGTTTCAAATGCTGATTTTACATTTGGAGAAATGCTAACTTAACTACGCCCGCTGTAAAACGAACAAATGCAAATGTTGTTTTAGCATTTTTGTATTGTAAAGTCAGCATTTGAAACTTGACGGGCATTTTTTTAACAATTTAAATGCTAAATCAGCATTTAATTTTTTTCCGTGCAACTGAACGGATTATTCTCCAAATGACGCAAATGCCAAAACCTCAAAAATGCGATTGCAATGGATTATTATTACGAACGCAGAGATGCATTTTGGAACAGAACGAAAATTAAGATCAGATTTTAAGCCTTCAAAAAATCTTTTGAAATTCGGTTTTACAGACCGCTTACGGCCAAAGCAAATTTTTTTGCTACTATTCGCGAAATTTTGTTGGTGATGCTTACGTCCTATAGAAATTAATCTATTTAGTAGAGAATCCTTGCGGCAAATTTCATTTTTGGGAGTGGGAACTCAAAATGGAATATTGACTGATTTGTAATGAATTTGCAAAGGTGAGTCTAAATATTGACTTTGTTTGTTAAACAAAGATGGCTGTATATTTTTTTAAAAAAAAGTTTCATAACGAAAACACCGAAGGGACACTAACTGAGCGAAGTTTCACTTATGCCTTTCACCCACTTTTGAGAAGTCAGTATCCAATATTGATTTTGCTATGTTTGATTTTTCGACGTAAGGTTTTGGTTTTAACCACACTTCCTCTCATGTTTGGAGAATGTCTGTTTCGAAGTAGTTACCTACTAATATTATCGATTACCTAGGTATCGATCAACGAGAATTCTTTATAAGATTTTACAACAAAAAATTGTAACACAAGAGTCACTTCTTAAGGTTGGAAACTGATGAGCTTACTTGTAAACTGTTTATAAGACTGTGTTTTGTGCACTTGACTGTGTAAGTATAACTGTTCATGTTGTGTTCACACTGTTCATTGTGTGTGTAACTGTGATAATGACCACAGTTTCTTCATTATCTCCACAATATTTGCATTTACGTTTCAAGTTGAGGGAATTGCCACGATAGCATTGGAAGTAAAGCGTCGAGGAGCCTTGAAAAGTATTGAAAGAAAGAGTTTGACAAATAAATTGCAATAGTACGATACCTAACACAATTGAGTGATCGTTCAGTTATTTTTGTTTTTGGTCAAGTCATTGAGTAACTGTTGAGTGTGACATTTTGGCAGTACGGACACTCATTGCTATGAGCATTTATTTGTTTAGGATTTTTTTTTGCCTTTTTTCGGAGAAGGGGCCATTTAGAGGAATTTTTAATGAGGCCTGCTCTAAAACACATCGACCAATGTTCATGCATTTTAATGACAGCTACCTCTTAATCGATTTGTTTAACAGTGGCAAAACCTCGACATTCGTAAAAACGGTTGTTTTTAACAGTACGGCATGGACATCAGACCAGTTATGCTGATTTTTATTGCCATCATAGACTTTCAAGAGTATGTAAAATTATCTAAGGATTTGGTTGACTTCCGTTGCTCATGCAATTTTAAAAAGAAACAGAAAATGTAGACAAAAAATATTATTTTCATCGCTAAACTCTCTCAACTCCTCACATTTTCTCTTTTTATCAATGCTGCTAGCACTAAACAGCTATACTTAAAATGTGAGGAGAGTCAGACTAGAACATCAGCAGGGTGCACCTTTAGACACGCAGGCCAGAGGCAAATTTTTCCGGTGGGATAAACAAGAGGAATCAAAACTGGAAATTATCCAAAATATCTTTATTGCTCATTGAACATTCCGATTCATTCATTTTCATGTTTTTGAGAATGGACGCGTTTTGACAATACATTCGCGAGGATTTATTGATAAATAAACTTGTGTCCCACAATGAGAAAAATTGGATTCATCAAGATTCCCCTGATGATGATAGGTAACTGGCGAATGCGGTAGGGTCTGGACCTTCGTCAGGCGCGTTTCTGCAATAAAGTTATCAGTTTGCCAAAAGATATTGCTCAATTTTTCGGTCGACTGTCATATTTAGGCGAATCTGAAAGGTAACTTCTAAACAAGACTTTTACACTGCGTGGGCGAGATGATGATGAGGTCTTAAAAACATAGCTCTTTTGAATACTCCGTGATGAGTGTGACATGAGTTGAATATGGTGGTGAGTGGACTGCTGGTAAAAGTGGTATCGGCATTTCTTCAGGATCTCGACCTTCCAAACGCCTGAATTTAGTTGGTTGATTTTTTGAGTCCATGAGCTTCCGGATTCAATGTCTAATACAATATTAGAGCTTCCATGGCGTCATATCAATGTCCGGTAAATCTTTACACACGACTTTCTTCGACCTGGAAACATCACAGAAATACGAAATTAATTAAAATACGGGATTCGTCTCAATTTTTACCAAATAAATATTCGGTATATGATTTTTTAGTCTAAATTCCATAGGGGTTCATGAAAGGCCTTAACTAGCCTATGGTCTTAACCAATTAATAATTGGTAGCTCTGAAACTGAATGTTTAATTGCTCAAATTGAATTCAACACTTTGTCTCAGAACTTTTAATATATTTAGTGACTTAGTTAATAGTTAGTTTCACCTAACCATACAACCTCGAACTTGAAGTGGTATTGCATGGTTAGTATTTAACTAGGGGGCTACGCCCCCTGGCCGCTACGCGGCCCAACCCCCTGAAGGCGCTCCGCGCCATCAATGGGCCGCTTCGCGGCCCTATTCTTACCCTCCTATCAGTGTTAGTTTTATTTTTCCCCTTAAAAATTACGATATGAGGTATATTTTAATTTTAAACTTTACTTAAAATTACTATAAAAATTTAAAGGACGCGTTTGGAATGACTGCTTGATGAAATATTGCAGTAAAACAATGAATAATGATAGTCAGATAGTAAATATGAATTCATGAATTGGGGATCGAACCCACACCGAATTCAAAGTGGACGCATTCGACGTCTTAGACGACTCGACCACCGCTCGTCGTGTAGAGGTGGGTGCGAATCTTGTGTAGATAAGTGTAGAGCTGATGCGCAGGCTACACAGCTACTGCGCAACCTCCTCGACCACTGCGCATCCTCCCGCGCATAGCGGTAGCAGTACCGGAGCATCCTGTAAACTCACTCATTTTTATAACGTGATTTTAAAAGAACCTGGGTCTTTTTTCCAAAATCTGATTACAGCGGGCTCATCTAGGGCCTATTACCTGTCGATTTACGCAAAAATCATGGAAATCGGCCCGGTAGAACGCTCAAACGAACTATGACAAAAAGTATAAATTTACATTGTTTAAATGGGAGAATTCGCAACTTTACCACGTAATATAAAAAAACCTGGGCCATATTTTGAAAATCTGAAAAGAGTTGGCTTATCTAGAGACAATTGCCCGTCGATAGCCGCAAAAATCATGAAAATCGGCCCGGTAGAACGCTGGAACTAAGCGTCACCAGTTTCGCAAAATTAGGAGGTCTTGGAGCTTATAGTATAGATGGACCGTGTTTTTTTTATCCCTATATCAAAAGTGGCTCAGAAAATTAATCAATTTTTCCTTGTGCAGATAATAGAAACCGATTGATTCATTGAAAATCGTTGTTTCGAGTATGAGCCATCAACTTCGGTGTTTTATTTTATACCTATTTGAAATTTAAAATTCTATGTTGCTAACTAGATGCACATTTGAAATGTACGAAGTGCAATCCTTTTAAAGATTATCGCTTTGAAGCGCACATGATGATTTTCTAGTAAAAAATACCTGATAATAACAGAGGGTTCTTTAGCCTGGTCAACGTCGATATGAGAAGATTCCAACTTATTTTCTAACTCCAAATCTCTGCTCAAAGCAACATAACAAAACACATAACATGAAACAAAACATGAAATACAACACATGAAAACACAAAGGCAACAAGCAATATAGGAAGAGACAAACGTATATATGCCAATTCAGGAGCAGCTCTTCTAGATTTTATTCGTAAAAATTTATTGGACCTTTCATGTCCCAAATGTCCCTTGCTCATTAGATTACTGTAAACATACCACGTATCTCGTTTGCGGTGTTTGAAAATCTCCGCTCCCATTTCATATTTCCAAAGAAGAAGAACTCATTATCTTTCCTTGAAATGTTCACAGACATTTCCTTGCACATTGAAGAAAATACACCGAAGTTTTTAAGAATTGACGTCGAGCAGTTTTCCATTTACAGAATAAAGTATGGCAGGAGGTCTGCAACATCGCAAACCGAGATAGGTGGTCTGCTAGTTTCACCGTCGATATGGAAAAGATAAGTTGCAATGATCATGGAGGAAGCTAGCGCGCCTTCTTCATATTGATTAGGCAACTTTAACTACGGCGGAGTGTGAATTGTTGTATGCTGGTGTTACCATCACGAATGGGTCCTTGTGGTTATTGTAATGAATCAGACTTCGCCATAAAAACACGAAAATGAAACTAACCCTCGTCGTAATCAACTCGATTCCAGCTAATTATCGGACTGTTTATGGTTCATAATTGGCGGGAAAAGAGAATTTGTGTTAGAACTGATCGCTAACGATGAGTTTGACAACTGACGGAGCTGCCAAAAAATGAACATGATTGCTGGAATTTTAATATTTTTTTAGGGTAAGGCAGTGCGCATTTTGCTCTCTCCAAACGGATTTTTCCATTTCAAATTAACGTTTCTCACCTACATTGGACCCTTATTTAAACTGCAGCGATGAATAGAGTACGAGTGTATTATTAATATCATTCCTTTCTTTTCTTTTAAATTTCTTATCATATTCTAGTCATAAAAAATGTTTAAGTAAAAGTAAAATGTTACATGAAACACTTTTGGAACATTTTAATATACCAGAGAAACACTGTTTAGAGTCTAAGGGCCATGAAGTCACTAGGGACACCACGTGAAAAAATTTATTTGAATTAAAGCAAATTTTCTTGCACTGAAAAAACTTTCAGAAAAGGACGAAATTCCTTTTTTGAGTTAAAGAAATTAATTTAAACAATTGAATTTTCTTTGAAAATGACTGAAATGATCTGTACCTGTCGTCATTTTCATCATCTGAAGATTCTGATTCATCAGGTTCTTCAGAATTTAGGTCTGATGTATCAGACTCGTTTTCAGAAGGGGACGATTGAGATTGAAGTCGCTCTTCGGATGTTAGCTCCTCAGAGGTTGACTCAGGAGTATCATCTTCGATAAAGGGGTTCGAGAGATCTCCCGAGCTGAAAATCATGAAGCAATAACATTGAGAAAAATTTGGATTCATCACATGGAAGAGTACCGTTCCATTATCTCCTGTCAAAGTTGGCAACACTGTTGTTCCTCTATTTAAATGCATGTAAAAAATCGATTCTTGCTGCTTCATCCAGGACCGGATTTACTTACTTGCGCCCATGGGCCGCCTGTATTTTGCCGCCCCCTTCTCGTTGGTTTTGAAACATCAACAAAAACCATCGAGTGAACGTGCCGGAGGGGGAGGGGTGCATAAGACGCGTTCACTCGTGTTGGACACATTTTTTGCGAAAGCCCTGTCAACCTTACTATCAAAAGTTCACGGAATTTAGCGCGAAAGGTAAGTTCCGTAAACCTATCTCTGTGTGGACAAGGCCTTCCATTTATATGAAATGAACGAAAAAATTAAGAAAGAACAAACATAAATGTGGTTTAATAACTTTAACTTCCTCCGCCGCGCCGCGCTAACCGTACTGTGTGTGGCGCGCAATGCGTGAAGTATTCATGCAGTCTTGTAGGCGCTATGCGTTTCATACGCCGCCCGCGCCCGCTGCTGGCCGCACTGTCTTTGATGCAATGCGTGAAGTATTCATGCAGTCTTGTAGGCGCTATAATGTGTGTTACATGCGGACCGCCGCGCGCCGCGCCGCGCCGAGGGTCTCTCCTTCTCATCTCAAGTTCTCGTCATCATTGCTCTCTGCGCCGCGCAGTTCCAGGCGAAATTCCGTGTTCAGTTTCTCTCTTAGCTCTCTTCTCTCTTAACTCGACTAATTAAAGGTGCTGTCTATTGTATCACAGATAGACGACAACATTAGAGATATACTCTCAGGAAATGAGAGATTTTGTCACCTTTTCTCGTTTGTAATTTTTTTTCTGAATCCGATTTTTCCTTGTAGCTACATTTAAAAAAAATTGCAACATTTTGCCGCCATGAGCCGCGGCCCATGTGGCCACCCCCTAAATCCGACCCTGGCCTCGCCTAAAATCGATATTTTCAATGGATCTAAATTGAGTAAAAACAATGTCACCAACTTGCGAAATCGCCACTGCGCCTGTTTTTTCTTCCTTCCAGAAAGATGCTTCGCCATTTATTTCTTCCTCCCTCGGAAAAATGGTGGTTTTTCCTCTTAACTTCTGATTCCTTCTCTTAGTTTCAAAAGGGAAGAAGAATCAGGAAAAGGTCTTCGTTGTGCTGAGGATGAAACTCTCTGCATCAAGGAAATGCCTNACAGGCCCATTGAGTAAAAACAATGTCACCAACTTGCGAAATCGCCACTGCGCCTGTTTTTTCTTCCTTCCAGAAAGATGCTTCGCCATTTATTTCTTCCTCCCTCGGAAAAATGGTGGTTTTTCCTCTTAACTTCTGATTCCTTCTCTTAGTTTCAAAAGGGAAGAAGAATCAGGAAAAGGTCTTCGTTGTGCTGAGGATGAAACTCTCTGCATCAAGGAAATGCCTCGTTGCGGAAAGTATAATTTTGATTTTGACAACGAAATTTTTCCCTATCACAATGTGATATATCATTTTTCTTTTTTTTAAATTGTGACGTTAAGAAAAGTATTTTATGACTGAGAAGCTTTCATCTCGACAACTAATAATTTACTTTGTGCTTTTAGTATTTTTCTGACGCTAGGAGCTATCCGCAGCACAACAAGATTGAAATCGCAAGGAAGCGGGATTTTCCTTGGTAATAAAACCAATTTTTCTGAGTAACATCGTTGTTTTTTGCTTTAGCGGAAGCTTTTGGTCGATATTATAGATATCTTGAGTGGCATGCAAACTGACACATATAAAGACATACGCACATACAAAGAAGACAATGACAAACATTTTGAGTCAAGGACAAGGTATTATTAGGTAACGTGAAGTGAAAAAAAAAATCTAAAATTTCATTGGCTTGTGAGAGGATTGTATCGAATTTGACCAAAACATGGGAAAATCTTTTGACGTGTCTCAAAGTTACTACTGTTGATACAATCAATACCTATCTATCATACTTCTATAAAATATTTTAAACCGTCTATTAATTAACCATTTTAATCGTATATATCAAAGCGGCGCGTTAGAAAATTTTCTATTCAACTAGGTGTCAAGCATGCACAAGCATTTTGTCTCTAAAAAAATTGGTTATTTTTTTAAATCTATTGTTAAGCTCTGTCAATGCAAAGCTCAATGTCTCCAGACATGCGCGATTATTGACCTTGCAAACCAAGTTTCTCGTTGCGCAGCGTTACATGCTTCCTATCAAACTTTCTTTCTTATTTACTTAGGAGACTAATCACTGAAAGTTCTTGAAAATTGCGTCTTATGTTTGACATCTACTTTGTATTGGTTCGGGAACCGATTCTCGTTCACTTACGTCTCATTCTAATTTCTACCTTTGCAAATTCTTTACTTCGATCATGTAATAAGAATCGTTAATCATATTCTTATTTCCACCTCCTCCACAATGTATTCGCACCATAATCCACTGGCAATACACGTATTTTGAAACACATACACGTACACTGAACATATTTTGGTATTTCGTTTCCGTTTCCTTTTTTAATTACATTTTTTCAAGCATCACGAGAACGTCCTTTAATACGCATAAGTTCAAGAGCCTCTGCTTGTTACATTTGCATCTGATGCAATATTATCGTCAGCTATGGAGACCGTATACCATGTAAAATGCACATAAACACAATACATAGTAAAAGCCACAGAGAATGCAGGTAAAACAAACAATCAGCACACATACACTAAACACTTAAGAAACGAATCATCGCAAAATTTTCGTCATTTATTTTTGGATCCTTATGTTAAGTTTTTCCCATCTTCGACTTGATACCAAGTTGGAAATTATATCAATTCTCGGTAGTTTTAAACTCGCTGTTGGAAATCTTGGAGTGGATTCAGGGGTATACTTCACTCCAGAATCTATCAGTAGTGAAAGTACCATATACCACGTATCTCGGTTTGCGACGCTGTAAGACTTCCTGTCAGACTTTAATTATTAAATGGAAAACCAGGAACTCAAAGATAAGTCTTGAAAACTTCCCTGTTCTTTCTTCTCTGTGCGAAGTAAACTCTGTGAAAATTTCAAGAAATTATATTGATTTGTTCTCCTTCAAAGAAATAAAACAGGAACGGAGATTTGTAAACACCGCAAACGAAATACGTGGTCTGTTAGTTTCACCGTCGATTTTTGAGTTCACTCCAAAACTCGTGTATCTACTAGATTTTTTGGAAAATAGTTTTAGCCAGGTAGAGCTTACTTGGAAGCTAAATTTTATCCAATTTGCTGAAAATTAGACGTTACGGATACTTACAGTTGATGGGAAACATCGGAAACTTACTTTATTTCGAAGGGCTTTGAGGGAACATGATCCAATTTATCCCCATACTTGCACAGTAAGTAAGACATTGTAATTTTGTTTAACTGTTTCAGTTGAGCTAGAAATAAGAAGTACAAACTATGAAGTCATGTTGTTGGAAGGCATAATAATAGGATATTGGTGCATTAATAGATGTTCGCAATCTCGAGTCGATTCAATTCACACATTTGATAAATTAGACGTTTCAATGCTGAATGAACTGTTTGAATCTGAAGAGACAAAGTCCGTGGCCGGGGTATGCATGTTTCATCAGTTCTATAGCTCCTTTTTTAAAACTAATCTGTACAATTTTTTTTAAGAAAAAACATAAATGGGTTCGATTCCTTCTTTAATTTTATTTTTGACATGATGATTAACATTGCCACTTTAAATATACATCATGCAATCTAAGAAAAAGAACCTTAGGTATGTGTTTATAAAATAGATATACTGACAAAACGCCGCATGGAAGAGATTCTGGTGATGAAATATATCAAGCGGAGGTTTTGAATTGAGATTTGAAGTATCTATTTGTCTAAAAAACGGCGAATTTTTACCCAAATTATGTTGTCTTGAAACTTGCCCGTCGGTGTCCACTTATAATCGAAGAAGTTTCAAGAAAATCACGTTGAAATGAAATTTTTATTTAAAAAGTAAGAAAAGGATCCGAAAATGAATTTCCGGTTGTTTTGGGTGGCTTAGGGCCAAGCTGAATTCAGCCTAAACTGACGTAAGACATTTACAAAAATAAATAGATTTGACTCCTACCCTTCTTTAGATAAAACAAATGGAATATCGTGACCTTCCGGCCAAAGTATCACAAGCTCTATGCGACGTTGCAAAATTTTCGCCGCCATTTTATTTTTTACACAGAAATTTTTGGTTGAATCTGTTTTAAAATTTCACTCAATTTTACCGGCAGCGCAAAGAATATTCAGTAAAATTTTCGGACAGCTTCGATGAACAATTTACCTGTAAAAAATTAAAAATGATTGCGGAAATTTTGAAATGTCGCGTGGCGCTGTGATATTTTGGCCGGAAGGCTACAATATTAGGTCAAAATTTTGTTTTTGTTTATTTCTGCATATATTTAATGGAAAAATATTACATCGAGTCTTTTATTGTCTGTTCGGACCAGATCACGTTCACATTTTGACACAAAAATATTATACTACAAACTTTTCAAGGTAAATTGGACTACATTTTGCAATTAGGAACTATATAAATTCTGACTTAGTATAAAAACAACGTATGAACCATCAGTTTCCTTATGCTCATACGTGTTTTTTCGGATGACCCAGAATGTATAGTTCCTAATTGCAAAATTAAGTGCAATTGCCATGCACGTGCATACCTTTGGTAAATTTTCCTGGTCCATCTTTAAAAGTGGGGGAATGTCGGTCTCCTAAGAGCCATCTCTTGAATTGGTCAGCTATAATCGCCGTAAACAATTTTCCAAACATGCTGGTACCGACGGGGCACTCAGCTACCCCTCCTACGTACATATCAACGTCCCTCCAATGTCTGTACACCTTCCTCATGTTTCCAATTGTCTAAAAAGATAAAAGCGTACTTAATTGATTATTCAGTGTGATGAAGTCAAGGAAGAGGGCCCTCTAAGTTGAGAAATAAAATAAAAATGAGGTATCCTCAAGGTATGAGGGAATATTGATTTTGTAACTCAATAAAACCCTCTTAGGTTTAAAATATCAGTAAATATATAATGAGCTCTAATTTCCAAAATTAGTATTTTAAATTTAACTTAAATTATTTTGGGTTTTTGTGAGCTTTGCAGTATGCTGGTTATTGATTAAGTATAACATACCTCCTGAGTAAAATATCTCTTCAGATCATTCCAGGAATTGATCTTCGGTTCGCCGAGCAGCGTTTCCATGTAGTCGCAAAAGCCAGCGAATCCAGCTTCCCTATCGCGTTCAATTGACGTCGTCTCTAAATCCAGTCCAAACGGTCTAGTTCTTCGGAAGAATAAATTATTCATCTGAAAAAGAGGGAATGTATCATAACATAAATTGATTAATTTTATACTACTTTTTTGTTTCAGCTAAATACTACTTTCTTCAAAGTTGCTGGTGAGGGTCATGCAAGGATAAAAATAAGAAGTAGTGAGGCTCCAGATCTGGCTATACAGGGTGTCCCAGTGAAAAAAGGTCCTGCAGGCATCTGACCTATAAGTCAAAATCGGACATTTTTCAGAGATCAAATGCAGTTTGGCGACCATGCCATTTTCCCACCCAGTTCATCAAATTGACTACATATCGACGTTGTAAGTCGGAAATCACATAACTCGGTTTGCGAAGTCGCAGACTTCCTGTCATACTTTATTTTTCAAACGGAAAACTACTCAACGGCAATTCCATAACTGTCGAGATTTTTCCTCTCTGTGCGAAGAAAATTCTGCAAAAACTTCAAGGAATGATGTCAATTTGTTCTCCTTTAAAAAAATAACATAGAGGCGAAGATTTTCAGACACCGCAAACGAGTTATGTGATTGCCGACTTACACCATCGATATGGCTCTTGAAATGTAGAGTAAGAGTAAAACTAAAAATAAGCGAAACCACCTGTTAATATCCACAATAACGTGGAATACATGTTTCGGTTGAAACGAACGTTTTCGGTTGAAATCATCAAAGAATACCTAAATTCTTTTCTTAGTGAATTTGTAGTTTTTTCGCATTTTAGACGAGCTTTTCGCCTAAGCTGCGAAAAGTTTATGACTCTTCGATTTTTTTTTTTTTTTTAACAATCATGTTTATGATTCGATTCAAATGAGTTGACAGAAAATACTTACAGCGAAGGATCCGTGAATGTCTTGTTTAGGCATATGTGTGGTGCAGACACTCTTCAAAATCGGATCAAAATTGTCAACTGCGAATTGAGGGCGATTCAGCCAATCGTTCAACACCATAGCTTGCATTTTGCCTTGTGAATGAATGCTGTAATATTAAAATTCGTGTAAATTTCAAGCCCCGCTGGGTTTAATTGCTTGTTGGTAAAATTCACGGTTATCGATTTAGTGACATTAGATTGAGCTTTGACAACGCAGCATTTAAGATATTTTTGGGAAAACGAAGAAAAATTTGAATCGCCTTTCCGCTTCTCAAATTTCTTCTTTCTCATGTTATTATTGAAAGTCTATTGAATCAAAAATAAAAAAATACTAGTGGGCATTTTTTAAAATAAAATTTTATGGAATTCAGTGAATTTTTCCGATAGACTTCATACATCGTTATCCCTCCTGTTGTCATTAAATACATCTCTATTATCAATGAACTGAAATAATGAAATTTTATTTGGGAAAAAATCTATACTATAAGCTCCGAGACCTCCTAAAGCATATCTGGTAACACTCAGTTCCAGCGTTCTACCGGGCCGATGTTCATGATTTTTGCGACTACCGACAATTGTCTTTAGACGAGTCTGCTATATTCAGATTTTGAAAATATGACCCAGGTTTTTTTATATTTCGTGGTAAAGTTGCGAATTCTTACTTCAGTTTATCAATAATTGTGCTGTGGCCTCCTCGGTAAGCACCATTCATAAACTCGTTCAACGTCGATGGATTCACAAATTCGTTGTAATTATTGTCATAATCTATATTTGTGTAGTTCAGTTTAGCCTGTATCATAAATTCACGACCTAGGAAGAAAGTGAGTAATTTAAAATGAGAAGAACAGGCAAAAACGTGAGGAATGAAACCTAAAATTTTAAGTAACAATATAAAAGAGAAATTGTGGAAAAAATAAATTTATAGAAACTTTCATAATTCTATTCTCATCTCTGCTTATTTAATAAATTCGAAAGAGGACCAAATGAACCGAGTTCAGCAGAGAGGAGCCAAGCCACGTCAGTTATTGCCAAATTTTTTTACGTGAAATCGGTTGTGTGGATTTCAGTACGAATTTTCTGCCTAGTACGAGGCAAATCCCTTTACATTTTCAAAAGAATCTGCAAGAACTTTCTCTTGTAAAATATTGAATTGCCCAGTCAAATTTGCGGCAATAGCTAATATGGCTTGGTTCCTTTCTGCTAAATGCGGTCCAAATAATGTAAAAATATTGGAATGTCATGGTAAATAAATTGCAATTTCATCGCGTTGCAATTTCATCTCAATATTTTCGTTGGGCTGTGCTGATTAGGTAAGAGTTCGGGCTATTAGCCTCCTTCTTGACTTTTATTTTATGGAAATGGACAACTCGGGTTTAATAGACAATGGACCACTAGACAAGGTACGAATTCAAGCATTCTGATACTTGTTTCTTAAACAGAATTTCACGTAGATCACGATTTGCGCAACGAAAACTAATGAAACAAACTCCAAACGAAAATATTAACGTTTTTATGTCACATTGGTTACGAGGGATTTTAACTGCCCGCTCACAAGAAACTCAAAGCTCTACGTGAGTCAAATCGCGCACTACGACGGTTTCAACAAGCTTCTCAATCGAGTAATGTTCATTTCCCATCATGTGTTGTTCAAGCGATAAGCAATTTGCTACAGCTGAACCAAAGCGTCAAGATTGAGGTTGCCAGATTTTTATATCGCAGAGACTGTCATGATAACGTTTAGCGCGCGATGTGAATCCCGCAGAGCATTGAGTTTTCATGAGCGGGTGGTTTGAATTCACGCATCAATAATCATTAAATATCTTAGTTAGGAGTTGATTTCGGCAATTTTCGTTATGCGCGTTGTATTCTAGGTGAAATTTTGGTTAAAAATCATGTATCAGAATGCTGAAATTCGTACCTTGTCTAGTGGTCCATATTGATGATTCTCACTTTGAAAGGTACAGCCAGGTACTATTTTAGATTTTTACCATTTTTCTTTTTACTCCTTTATCCAACTGAGGAAGGCTGAGTTTTCGGCCGAGACGTTTCGGTTTTATTTGTGAAATAGCCTTGCTACCCGCTTTTTAAATTGTTTTTTTTTTTTTTTTTTATCGTATATCTTGCGTCACGGGCTGCGGAACGTCAATCATACCTCGGGTTTAAGAGATCCTACTCTGTTAATATCAAACGGCAGTCTATCAAAACGTAAAACTTACCAATCAAAAGATGTAACCATTCTTTTCGGACGATGAAATGTTCGACAGCTATCATGACTCGTCTAGTTTCTTCAAAAACATCATCTGCAGACATTTTTGGGTTCAGTTTGAGGAGTTTCTTGGCGAAATCATTATGAAATCTCACAAAAATCGTAACCAATGCAGTGAAGGGCGGGTTCTGGTTAGGTCTCGGGTCACCTGAAATTAGAAAATAAAACCAGGGACTTATGTAAGAATTCGAGTAATAATTCCTTCGGTTTTTCAAAACTTTCCTTCGCACCCTTAGGCTTTTAGTTTTAAGCACCTCCCTCTACGTTGTGGTATCGCAAACACCGAAAAAAAAGAGGTGCTGTAGTAACATCCTGGATGTTAAAAAAAGTGCGATAACTCATGGATATTGACATTACCACTCTGGCTGTTAAAGTAACATCCTAGGCAGGGCCGGATTTACCTACTCGCCGCCCATGGGCCGCCTGTATTTTGCCGCCCGCTTCTCATTCGTATTGAAACATCAATAAAAACCATCAAGTGAACATGCCAGCGGGGGAGGGGTGCATAAGACGCGTTTACTCGTGTTGAACACATTTTTTGGAGATGCCCTGTCAACACTACTAGCAAAAGTTAAGTTTCGTAAACCTATCTCTGTGTGGACAAGGCCTTCCAATCATAAGAAATGAACGAAAGAATTATGGAAGAACAAACATGAATGTGGTTTAATGATTTTAACTTCCGCCGCCGCGCCGCGCAGACCGCGCCGTATTTGGCGCAATGCGTGAAGTATTCACGCAGTCTTGTAGGCGCTATCCGTTCCACGCTGACCGCAATGACCGCACTGTGTTTGATGCAATACGTGAAGTATTCGTGCAGTCTTGTAGGCGCTGATATGTGTTACATGCCGATCGACGCGCCGATGGCTTCTCCTTTTCATCTCAAGTCCTCGTCATCATTGCTCTCTGCGCCAGTTCCAGGGCAAATTGCGTGTTTGGTTTCTCTCTTAACTCGACTAATTAAAGGTGCTGCCTCTTGTTTCACTGAAAGACGACAAAATTAAAAATTACTACACTCTCAGGAAATGAGAGACTTTGTCGCCTTTTCTCGTTTTTAATTTTTTTTTCTAAATCCGATATTTTTTGGCGCGTATACGTAGTATACCGCCTTTGCGATCGTTTCGACCCCCCCCCCCCCCCCCC